CAAACAGCGCTGGATGCGCCGGGAGTCTCCGCTCCACCAAGACGCACACCATATTGTTCCTATTTCTGGTTTATATTTCTTTTACTAATACATATTCTTAATTATTTCTGAGAAGAGGTAGTCTTATTACAATGAGCTCAGAGAAGTCATCTCCATAGTCTCCACCCCTAACCCCGCCAGTTGCGCGTGCGCAGTGTCTCCTGGTGGTCGTGAGTAGGGGTCTCAGGGATGAAGGCTGTATGTCTTCCTCATGATGACTTTTTCACCACCCCAGAAAACTAGTGAAGTCATCATGACTCTGCCCTGCGAAGTCATCAGGACCGTCTTTGTTCTCCATCTGGGCTCCTGCTTATCTTACACAAGGGTTATGCAACTTGCAGATACATGACTTAAGTAAGCTAACTTAAAAGTGGTTAAGCGAGATTAGAGATTAAGCGCATACAGGCCCCTAGGCCCCTCTTGTCTTAACACCTTGCAACTGGCAGTAAAGCAAAAGAAGAAGAGAAAAAAAAAAACCCAAAATGTTAGGTGGCTTTTGCAAGAAGTGAGAACTATATACATACCATTCTGCTTTCTCTAGGACTACGGTTATAGAAGAACGAACAGAATGGTTAAAGGTTTACATATACAGAGAAGGTCATATTTCACTGTGCGGCCCTAACATTGTTCTATATTGCCATGTATCAGGGGAACGCATTTCACAATTGGGGCTCGTGGTTAGCAGCATCATGAGGCATTTCGCAGGTTTACGTTTTTGCATTTCACAGAGATCTTAAACTAAGACAATCACTTATCTTGAATAAGCACACCCTACTCCTCGCCACCTATTTGCACATCCATCCATTGTCCCATATTGACACTAATCAAATGAACATATTTCACAGACCCATTTCGGTATTGCATAGGTTTGTCCTGTAAACCCTTATATGCAATTGCCTTGCTGTTGCTTTAAGTGTAATGCTAATACTCAAACAGAAAAAAAAAAAAAGGCAAAAAAAAGCATATTTAACACAGTGGTAGGGTGTTGGTTTTTTTTCTTTACTAATTAATGAATCATTTGTTTTGGAATCCAATTACGACATGATCGGCATGAATAACAAAGCTCCCAAACATCACTAAAAGTTGCATGGAGTTCAAGTCCTGCCTGCATAGAAAGTGTTGTGTTTTCCTGTTCTTTCCCTGAACTTTAGCTTGTACTCTTGTGGCTGTACACGCAGCAGTTCACTAAACAAGCATCAATTACAGAAGACTCTGCTTGTATTTCACATATTTCGGGTTAGAAAGAGCAGGCTGAGCCAGACATGGAAATCCTTTGGAGGGCAGCATGCTTGATGTTTGGGGATTTGTTTTTTGGCAGAGCTTTCCAAAAATGAATTGTTTCCCTTTTAAGAATAGGCTATAATCCATCAGCTTCTTGAAATGCAGAGTTTCAGCCGAGAATTTAAATGAGAGGCTTCAAACAGTCCAGCTTAGCAACTGAAGGGCTGATCAGTAATCTGATCTTTGTTCTTTAGAGTGAAAATCTTGGGCTACTTCAACATAGCTGTCAGCAAAATCATGAAACAAATCAGAGTATCTTGTTTACAGATTTTGTTAGATCCTTATTTAAATTTTAAACTTCACAAATAAGTTTTGGGTGTTTAAATGTGTCAAATTCGCAGTGGTTTTTGAAGTCTTTTTAAAGCATTTGGATTTTGAAGTCAGACAACAGCTTTAATCTCCCTTTCAGAACTATGTTTTATCTATATAATCATAGAATCATAGAATGGTTTGGCTTGGAAGGGACCTTAAAGATCTAGTTCCAACCCTTGTGCCATGGACAAGGACACCTTCCCCAAAATCAGGTTGCTCAAAGCCTCATCCAACCTGGCCTTGAATACTTCTAGGGATGAGGCATCCACAACTTCTCTGGGCAACCCATTCCAGTGCTTCACCACCCTCAGAGTGAAGAATTTCCTTATCTCTAAGCTAAATCTACCTTCTTTCAGTTTAAAGCCATTGCCCCTTGTCCTATCACTACATTCCCCTGTAAAAAGTCCCTCTCCAGCTTTCTTGTAGGCCCCCTTTGGGTACTGGAAGGCTACTAGAAGGTCTTCCTGGAGCCTTCTCTTCTCCACACTGAACAACCCCAACTCTTTCATGTAACAGATTTGCTAAAATTGCCAAATCTGGGATGCCGTGAGCACATGAGTCAGTGTAATCTATGCAGTCACTCTTCATCCACAACTAATTTGAGGGCATTTGGATAAAAATACATGATGCTGTAAAAAAAAACTGGTTACAAAGTCAGTATTCTGCTGTGAAATACCAGATTCCTCAAAGATCAGCCTTTTTAGCATCCAGTAAAGTCTTGGAGAAGTATCTGTGACTCTAAAAGCTGAATTCAAACAGTATGACAACTATGCAATCTGATTAGAAGGGCAGACACCAGCTTTAGCAACTTATACCTTAAACCACTTCTTCTGCTGGCAGGGCCAGTTTAAAGTGTTTGTGGAACTATACTGCAAGAAAAACAAGTCTGTTGGTCTGCTTCAATAAACTTTACAAGGCCTACTAAACCGACTTGGCCAGGCAAGACAGAATGACAACTAAAAAACCTAACAGGGAGTAATAGAGGAGAAATTTTTGGCTCATCCAGAAGCAAACTGTTGCCTTTGCCAAGTCAATAGGACTGGTTTTGGAGCCCATCACCTCTGACATGGCCAGTCCCACATCTCCTCCATTTCCAGGCTGTAATTGTGGCTGCCTGCCCAGGGCCAAATCACTCATGCCCTTTTAATCAAATCATTTACTTCTAGGTAAAACTATTCTGGATGTGTCTACTTCCTAAGAAGCTGCACAAGAAAGGAACAAGAAAGCTCTCTGGCATAAATGCCAGCTTAGATATTGACTTACTTTGTGGTCTTAGGTTAAAAAGTCTATTTTCCACAGTTTCCAGGTACCGGACAGGTCTGATACATGTCAGATGATGAAAATTTGTGCCCACTTAATGTGATTTGAGAGCACATGTTGCACCAGATGATATAAAATAAATGGAGCTAATGCTTCTTGATCTCTGATAGTAAATCTGGGTTTCATTTTTGAAGAAGTATAATGAGGATAATCCTAATTTATCAGATAAAAATTAATCTTGTTGGTGTTTACTGAAGCAATTAATATTGACACAACACTTTCTTAGGAGAGCTAACTAATATCAACTAGTTAAAAAAACTAATTAACAGTAACCTAATTGTTCTTTTGTGGCAGATGTAACAGATTAAACTATTTGTTAAATATGTTCCTAACAAAAATGTGAAAGAAAAAAAAATAATGAAAATTAAAATATTGTTTTAGGTTCAAAGACTTGACAGTTATTGACATTTTGAAACAAACAAATAAAAAAATAAATAAAAGCTAGAGGTGATCTCATAGCTGAGTTCTACTCCTCAGCATTGAAACTCATCATAGTAATGATTTCTTCCTGAACCCAAGGAAAAGTCTCTTCCAGATTCATATATTTCCTTAATCTCTCTTAGAGTCATGATTTTCCTTACATGACTTTTAGCTTTGTCACAAATACTGTTCTCCTAATAGACAAAGTCACAGAAACAAGGCAAGGACTATCTCTTTGAACTATTTTCTGACTTTCTGATGAGGTCTTTTTACTTGTGTTTCTTTCCCACTTGTGTACCTGCCTTTTCCTTGTACTGTGTCATTTGACACAAAGCTTTGACAGCTAATAGTTCCTGAAAATCTCCTTGAAGTCACCAATTCTCCATCTACATCTCTCTTGCATCTTCAGCTCCCTCACAAGCATCTATCTAGACAACCTTTATTCTCCTGTAACTTAAAAAAAAGTTCTTAATCTTTTTCTGTATCCTCCCTTTTTCATTAATTCCTCTAGCCTCTATATTAATCAATGCTGCAATCCTAGCATATTTTCTAATTCATTTGTTTCCTTTTGTTCCCTCCGTGCCTGTCTGCAGCACATGCCAATATGCTGCCAGTTTTGTTTCTACATTATCTCCAAAATCTGTCTTTTAATTCCCATTGTGAAAAGTCCTGTCAAGACTCAATAAACTGTTGCATTGACTACTATAATTCCATGTAAAAGATTCCCGTGGTCGTCCCTTGGGAATCTATCCAAATTGCTAACAACATTTGATTCCACTTCCCAACTTCTTTTAAGCCATGCTAAGGTTTCCTACCCTAGTATTCCAGGCCTTTTAAAGTTTGGAAATTTCCAGATCTAGTTTCTTTTCTATGCTTTCGTTGTTCTAACTCAAAATAGTTTTATCACACATTTCTATCTCACTTTCCTTCAGTCACATCTTCTTCTTTTTCATATTTCTTCTCTTTAAATTCCTTCCTAAGAAACTATCTAAAAGGTCAAAGTTCTGTACTTTCACCCTGTGAGATCAGCTCTTATTCATTAAAAAAATCTACAGGCAAGGAGTGTATCTGTCTCTGCTATTGATGCTATCACTGTTCAGGTAATAAACAAATAAAATATTTTGTATCAGTCATAAAGCAATATATTCGAACTAGATCTCACCCTTATTATATGCTTCTTAATTATTCAATCGATAATTTACCATTATAAGATTGACCATCATTGATTCATTTAATAATCATGTAGATATACAGTTTTATGCATAGCTACAGTTTTTTTTTGTTATAATTCAGGCCTAATTATAATTAAAGCATTATCCATATATTTCACAAACAATAGAAGAAGTTCATGACATGCTAACATGGATATTCAGCATAGTATGGGAATAAGAAGTACACTCTCCCAAACCTTACATCATCTACAAATAGTGATGCTCTTTGTCTTTGTTATCTTCATAATATGCAACTAATGTAGATTATATTATTCTGCACTATAATTTAACTATGTAGCATTAAAAAGTGAAAAACCTGGTGAAAACAATGACAAACTGCATCAGTGAGACATATTTAGAAGAATTTTTCCGCTTGGGTACTAAATTACCTTGCTGACAAGTATTGCTACTTTTTATATTATCAGATCTGTAGATGAAGACAGACAAATAAAATACAAAGCTGCTGTCAAAATCCAGAGCTGTTTTCGAGGATGCAGAGTCCGAGCCTATCTGAGGTAGTATATTAAGTCTGTTTTAATCTGTATTTAAATCTTGATTTTTTTCAGCAAAACTTCTGATGGTGTTATTTAATTTTAATAAAATGGAAGCATTTGGGAAAAAAAAACCAAGCCTTGTTATTCTCCTTCTGAATAGAGTTAAATATGTTTTGTCACTGTAAGAAATAATAATTTTTTGTTTTCAGAACTGAATAAAATTAAAATGGCATGATGCTAATAAGTAGCATGGAAATAACCCAACTTAAGAATAGGTACATAATATCATTTATAAAAAAGATGTCCCTCAGATATGCCATGTGCAGAGACTTTTCTTATCTCTGTTACTGTGGGCATTATAGAAAAAAAATGCCTAGTGAGTGTATGGTAGCTGGACTCTGTATTGTAGAAAATTAAGTTCTACTGATGGATTTGACCAGGTAATTTTTTTTTTTTAAATCTCTCTTTACATAATTTTCTCCATTTATAAAACAGAGATAATGTACAATTACTTTGTTCTGTAAAATGCCATATTGATACTGATATAAATTTTTGGAAACACTATGGTTGGTCCCTTCTCTCAGGAGACCCTCCTCCATTTTTTATGATCATAACACCAATTGGTCAAACTCTCATGCTTGAATTTCTGTGTCTTCATAAAACTTAAGGCTGTGAGGGAGAGGGATTGTTACATCTTCTAGCTTGACCTCTTGCCTGTTGCAAGTCATTATGTATCATCCAGACACATTATATCAAGCCTAAAGAATTATTAGGTTAAATAACATTAATCACTTAATGACCAATATTTCCCTCATACAAAGATCAGCTACAGTCATTATGTGTGCTTGTTAAAAAAAGCTCCCGTAATCTGTTTTCTGTTGCTGGTTCAAGTGTGTTGTCACAGGATGCACACGAGTAACAACAGCATGCTGCAAAAGAAAGTGAAAACTCAAGCTTCTTTGCCAATCTATCCTGTAGGAAAATGCTCTTCCAAATGCACATTTCTGTTTAGTAATGACCAATGTAAGAAGACCTAAAGAAGAACTAAATTAGCTGAACATAGAAGAGGATTTTCTCTGCAACTGTGTACAGAGTGATCCTGCTCAGTGTCCTCTTTCCAAAGATGGATGTGGTGTCTGACTTAGGAGCACAGGCTCAATATAGCCAGTTGCCAGTGTTCTGAATTACCCTCTCGTTTAAGTCCTTCAGATTACCTGCTGGAAAAGACTGCCTCCACTGAGTGACTCTAGCTGTACTGCAAGGCTTCTACATTTGATGTCTAGAGTTACGTGGTATGAATGCTCCCCTATACAGCTTTTTCTAGGCAGTCCCAAAGTAATGATTGCATTATTTTCTGCAAAATTGATGTGAGACATCAATTACGGAATTTTTAATGGCATAATAAAGTGTCAATAGTAAGGGCAGAGTAAAGATTTACTTACTATTAAAATTTCAACTATCTGTGGGCTTTGTAAAATATTTAAAAATTGTAAAGCTGTGGAAAAGTTGCACGTTACTGAAAAAATTCTCAACCAGTCAGATACGTTGGTTAAAATCATTAATGAAAATACAATCATCTATCACACAAATTACATTTGTAACTCTATTTCGTTAAACTTTTGTAATGATAACTGAAATAGTATATAGGTAAGTTTGCAGTAACCCAATTTTTACAAAATCAAAGTATATGTATAGGTATAAATTTATGTATGTATTGGTTTATAGGTGTGTACATGTGTGCAAATGTATATATGCATACCCGTATATGTATAAAGTATGTTTGCAGTGGCTATCTGATTGGGATAAGTATGGATATAATACACTATGCATTGTTTTTAATATTAGTAAAAAGTGAAATTGTATTGTAAAGTCTCAAAATAATAACTATTTTGTTAATTATTTCATTTTAGATATCTGAACAAAATGGTGATTTTTATACAGAAGTGGTGGAGAGGTTATCAAAGCAGAAGATACTTCAGAAAAATGGTGCAGGTAGAAAACTAGTTTTAAAAATTTTGTTTTGTTATTAATAGAATACATATGAAGTAACTCATTTACTCATCTTGAAATTAAAAAGCTGAAAATTGATCCTTTATGCACACAGACATGTACTTAATTTTACTTTCATGAATAGCACCGTTAATTTCAGTAAGCCTACTCACAACAGTCAAGATAAGTCAGTGTTTAAATGTTTGCAGCTCTGCAGTATTAGCCCTGAAACCAGCAATGAGATCTGCTCAGGCAGAAGCGTGCCCACATGATGCTAATTGCAGGACTGCAGCTTTCCAAGATGCTCTTTTTTTTCTGGCAGAACTTTTAATTCTGAAAATAAAAGAAGCCAATGTGTCTACATATTGCTGTTCTCTGTTTTAGTGGTTTAAATTTCTTAATTAATGAACCTTGAAGTATTTGAGGTTTTGCCTTAAGGCACACAGCAGGTCACAGTCAATCTAATCCCTTTGACGGACTTGAAGATAGCAAAAGTGTATGATAGCACACAAGCTTAAATCTCTTTTAACAGGTTTAAGAGATTAAGAAACTAATTTGCCTTTAACATAAAACAATTAAGTTTTTAATATGTAGTTTACCTCACTAATTTATCAATTTATGTTAATATTTCACAATAGTTTTAAACTTTAGTCATTTATTCTTGATTAAATTTGTTAAATTGTTGTGTTTCAGTCAAAACAGACAAGTCAAGAAAAAGCAAAAAAATTGAGCCATAATAACTCATATATTGCAGAGTAAAATCCATACCTCCTACTAAACTACGTTTTCAAGTAGCAGAACTTCTGTGCCTGAAAGCTTGACTATTTTTCCCCCAAGCCGATCAGTAATCTAATTAAAGATTTTATCTCTTGTAATTTACCTGGGTTATCTAATAAATTATGAGTCATCTTTTCAGGCTATGGTTTTCAGTCTACCTTCTGAAACACACTGAATACAGGGCAGATAGCTGCATGGTTGGATTGGATTCTGCTTTAAAAAAAGTTGAATGTTGTCCCTGAGTTTAGAGAAGGTCTGTTTAATCTAGAAAAGCTTCTGTAGAAGAAGAGAGACATGATAATGTTAATATATGTTAAAATTTGTTAATGAGAAGAAAGGATCTGTACAGCTGCTGGGAAAAGGGAAGGACGAAATCAACTTCATGTGAAACATTGACACATAACTGCTGAAAGATGTGGAACTCCCTCTACTGCAGGTTTTTAAGAGGAGGTTAGACAACTGCTTATCGTGGATGGCTTAGATATGCTTCAGGCAATGTTGTAGGTAGAGTTGGCTCATGACTTCCACTCAAGTTCTACTTTTTTTTCATAGTTAAAGCGTTGTAGAGTGGTGAATTTTGCTTCAGAAACAAGGCGATTTACGTGTTTCTGTGTTTTTCAAGTTCAGAATAAGAACCATGTCAGTTTTTGGCATTTGATCATAGGTCTTTAAGAGGTCTTAAGCAGGACAAAGATCTGATCTCTGGAATAACGTAGGACAAAAAATCGTGCAAGCCCAGAGTTAATATACACCTTCTAAATCAGACTATGAATTCGTTCAGTTTCAGGATAGCAGGACTTATCCAATATTAGCCAGGGATCTAGAGAAACAGAATCTCAGCATCAAGCTTACAAATTGTACAGCAATCAGCATAGAAAACCACCTTTTCCCCTCACATTTCCCTTCATTTTGCACTCGCCTCTTTGATTGGAGAGCACTAAATAGGACAGCCTGACTGGAATCCAACCTGAAAGCCATGCAAGTAGTAGATAAAAAGACACCTTTTCCTCCCTTTGGACTGCTATATTCAGTATTGTGTGTTTTGACATGGACTTCAGTATAGAGTTCAAGTTCATTCTCTGTATTCATTGTTACACTGTTTTTACTCAATCAATGGCTGAATTTGGAATATTTTAAAAAGAAACAAAAATCTTCTCAGGAGCTAAGTGCAACTTTTATGTTAAAGGATCAGTTAACGTTTGCACTAAACTCTTGCTAATAACTGTTGTAATGACTCCTGATTGCGAAACACAATGATACATTTGACATAATAGTTGCCAAAATACAAAAAAAATTGGTCACTTTAAAATTTGTCCGCTGATGATGATCGGATTGGTATCTGCTGCCAGCAAACAAGGCAAAGCATATGCACAAAATACCCATGATTACTTGATAATAAATCATTTTAATGATTATATTCAAAATTGTGAAATGTGAGTGCTACTGATGCGGAAAATAACAAAGGCTGAGGCTCATCAGATTGGCTGTCCATATGTGCATCACTACTAGTATTTCATTTGTTACTCCTCTAGTGCCTCTTCCTTTTATTGTTAAAATACATTAAGTTAATAAAAAAATATTGATGGTCTTTATATGACTAAATTTATGTGCCTTTCTATATTCTAAATACAGGTGCTTTGGTATAAAATTTTGTTTCCTAATATTAATCTCAAACTAAAATTGAGAACTGCACTCCTATGGTTTTCTTAATAACTTAGTTATATTGGCTGTACTGGATTCTGAAAGTCTTGCAATACTTGCAGGAAGGTATGAATTTTAAAACCAGGCAAACACCAGAACATGAATCAAACTGTATGTCACTGTTTCTTTTCACAATATTTCTAAAAGTCAAAAAATCACTTGTTAAAGCAAAGGGAATTGTAGCATTTCATTGTTATTTTAAGTTAGCATGCATGATGGCCATAATTTCAGCTCACTTTGGAAGGAGGTGAAGTTGAAAAAAGTGAATATTTTGTGTGATGTAGTTTGACACCACCCTAAATAGTTTAGTTTCAACTCAGTAACCAGTTTTAAATAGTCTCAGTCCAATAGGAATTAGACAAATGCCTATTTGATAAAAAAAAAAAAAAAAGGCAAGCCTGTTCCCAACTTAGACTATGTGTTGGTTCCTTCTCTCAATCTACTCTCAAATTTCTAGTTCTCCTTTGAATTTGTCACTTTATATTAACTGTTTAAAGAAAAAGAAAACACCAGTCAGGTTCTGATCACATTTGTAGGTGATTCCCAAACATGTTTTTAAACAGAAAAGGAGAAAGTAGTACAACAGTTTTTCCCCAAAGGCTTCAAATATATTTTGGAATCATAGACTTAAAGTAAACTAGTTGGGAGATCTGTATATTAACATGAGAGATACAGACTTGACGTTTCAGAAGTGGAGATGGTGCATGAGGGTGAGATGAGAGTCAACCTTGCAGCATCATCTTGGAATGAGCACCCAGTGAAAGAATGAGAGGCAATCGGAAATGCAGGAAATTCCACTTAAGTGTAAGAAAGGAGTTTTCTCAATAAGAAGGCCTCAGTTCAGGAAAGAATCTTTTGTTTACTAGGAAAGCACATGCTTTTGTGAATAAGGATGAACACATTCTCCATCACTTGTAATAGCAGAACTAATATGTATTATTCTAATCAGGATTAGAAAACAGGGCAAATCCATTTGCAAAAGAAGCTAGATGGTGACACAGACTTTGGCTTTTGGCACAAGGATAAGGTTGTGAGACAGTTATATGAGCACTTCTGCATTTGGATGACTTGTGAGTAAGAACAAAGTTGAGTAAAAGCAGGAAGGTGTAATTTCCTTTTTATCGTGAGTGACCTCGTCAAGTAGTGATGGGGTAAGGCCTGAGTCTCTCACACCTAAGTGAGGTACGCAAGTTAGGACCCTAGTTGCCATTGACTGTCTTGGTAAATAGTAGACAGAGATGCAATTGCAGAGTTCTTCAATACTTTGTCAAGCTCAGAGGGAAAGTGGTCCCACTGTCTCACTGTCTTTCAGTATTGAGGATACAAAGAGCATAATGATGTTAGGTCTTCAATTTAGGTTCTTCAGCGAAATGGGATGAATTCAGACCTAAGAGCTCACGGCCTTTAAATATGAGAAGAATAAACAAAAAGCTGTGAGATTGTTTAGTTTAATCATTCATGGACAGAAATCTGATGATCATTATTAAGCTTAGGAATTTCCATTAAAAATATACTTTATCTATTTGGTGGTGCAGCAACTCCTACATTCCCTTTCAAAGAAAGACCAAACGAGCTGCAAAGCAAAATTGTATCAATTTAATCAAACAGTTTAGGAATACACTTAGAACTGGCAACCATTGTTTCATTCCAATATTAGCTATCTACAGTTAGTATCACTCAGAAAACATTTATGGAGACAAAAGGGAAGATAGAGTCCACTATTTATTCTAATTCATACTTTTAGGGCAGAGATTCCTTCTAGTATATACATGTATATGTGTGCATACATCTGCACATATACGTGAAACTTTTTTTGAAATTTAGCAGTTGTGCATTTTTCTTTAATATAAGAAATATCTTTTCTACTGTTTCCATTATTAGTAGATTGGTATGATATTAAAGTGAGCCTTTAAAATGCACCTTAATTAAACTGCAGGAATTATGCCTTGCTTAATGTAATGAAGAAAGAGAATTTAAAATGAAGTAGCATCATTGTGTTCATTTGTAAATAACATATTGCAGCCAACTGTTTCTTAATTGCCCAGACTGTTGATAAATAATCCAGTCCTGCTGCTCTCCACAGACAATTTGCTTTGGATCAGACTAGGCAATTCAAATAACACTAATTACAGTGAAACCCTTTTATAGTGAATTCCTGTTTACCATGGGGGACAAAATCACTATATCAGGGGAAAGCACTTTTGCCTTTGATTTGTGTCTAAAACATGAGAAACACATAAAAGCTGCATGTTGTGCTAAATAAAGGACATACTCTTGCATTCAAAGTACTTATATTTTACTTTTTATGATACAATTGTGAATTATGTTCATTTTGCATTTGTAATTAGAGGGCGGAACAGATGTGAAAGCTTAGTTTAAAGTGATGTATCCATTAAAATAACCTATGCTGCCAAGTGATTGCTTAGTATAATAGGGGATTCGTTCACTATGAGAGGAATTCTGCTTTATTGGAAGGAAACCAGGACTTCAGGAAATGTTTTCTATATCAGGGGATTCACTGTAACATGGTATCATTGTATTTATGATTTTATGATGTTAAAATGAATATTAAATGAAACAAAATTCCCAAGGATTACTCGGGAGGCAGCTAAGTACATAACATTTAGTACAGATGGTTGGAAGGCACAATTTTGCTCCATCACTGCATCCGTATCCTTGAACGATTTCGACTGAAGACAGCATTTCTTTGAATTTTTCATTAAACCAGACGTCTTGAAATATGAATTCCTTTTATGTTTCTGTGAGTTTTGGCTAAAAGAACCCCAGTGAATAAATCATACAATACTATGTGTCACCAGCACTTGTGAATATTTCTGCTTTGTTATTCTACTCTCAGTAGAGCACCATTGATTATCAAACTCAGCGGAGAGCATTTTATGATCATATATCTCCATTAGCTCCTAGTTTGACTACCATAGATTTTTCTGGTTAAGCCTGCATTATGTATTAGGGAGCCTATCTCTTCAATACAAAGTTTGATTTTATTCTCTCTAAGCCTAGAACTCTTATTATGTATTATGTATAAAGATTCTTATCTTTTATATGTAAAAATAGGAGCACTGTCTTTGTGTAACTGAAATATATGCCATCTTTTTTTTTCCTTGATTCACAGACAGCATATTTTATTATGAAGATGAATTTCTACAATGAAATGGCTGTCAGGGTAAATATTTCTTCACTTGTTAAACAAATGAAAAGTCAATTGTGCTCTGAATTTGCTTTTAATAAAATGAGCAAACCAGAATAATATACACTTGATTGATATGCTGATGGCAACAGCGGGAAATAGTACATAGTTAAAAATTAAAGTTACACTCAGTAGTCTGGGTTGTATTTGAAAACTGCAGCTGAATTTAAGTCATCTGCATGTCTTGCACTATTAAATGTTCATCGTACCTTACCGTGTATGATGCTGATAAAACTCTCAAACATTTTATCTGTGAGTATTCTTACAAATGTAAACATATATTTACAATTCTGACAAACCATAGGGCTTTTTCTTTTCTTCACACATACCATTTGGTGTATTGAATCTCAAAAGAGTTACTCAGAGATCACAGGACAATTTCATTGCTTAAACATAGAGGTTGAACTGCATGGATCTCATTGATGATATTATGAGAGAATTTTGCTAGATGAAGAAGAGTATAAACAGTCCTTGAACTTGAACAAATGAAGTTTGTTATGGAGAAAACTGCAAAATATATTTAACTATAAATTAGCATTTTTTTTCCTCGACTTTGGAACTGCATTAAAATGAATATGTAAAACAAACATGGGAAGGACATGAGATAATTCTTAGGATGAAGTCTTTTTATCTTACTTAATTCTTCTATGTTGTGGAATAAACTTTCTTTACTTTAGAGGCCTATACCTTTTAGGCAAGGCATTTTACCTTTTGAATTCTACCAAATGCAGGAATGGGGGAGGGGATGAAGAGTAACCCAAGCAAACTCCTATAAAGTAGGAAGATTATCAGAATGGATTTTAATTTTGTGGCCTTTCTGGTTCCAGAATAACTCAGAATCAAGAGATATGTTCTCATCAGGTTTTTGACTTAGTGCTGGTTCTCTCAAAGGCGCAAAATAGAATGTTACTTTTGGTGCATGTTAGAGAGCTGAAAGTGTTTAACAGCAATCTGATTCCTCAGAAATGCACTTTTTTGTTGTTTTATTTCTTAGTTAGCTAGTTTGAAAGTATTCCATAGTGGATAAAGGCTATATACTCATGCAGCTGAAATCAGTGAGAAAACACAAGATGCAAGCCAGGTCTTAAAAGTTGGCTGTGTACTTTAAGAAGGCATTTGAAGACCAAATTTCAGAGGTAATTATGTATTCTAGTCAAAGGGAGTTTTGCATTTGGTCTTTCATTTTTAAAAGAAATTGAATGTGTTCTCATTTATTTGTAATGGAAATATAATGTTGAATCATTAGGTGATATAAATCTTCAAAGTACCATTTTTTCAGTCATGTCCTTTTCTTAAATGGAAATTTAAAACAGTAGAAAACAATAGAACAGATCTTTCCTTAGTTGCAAATGTCAGAATCCGATTCTCCTCTATCTAAATCTTGTGCAGCCATATCTGCAGAGCAGATTTAAAATGCTACCATTCTGAAACATTGAATGGTTTTTTTCTTCTGTCATCTGGTTTTTGAAGAACTAACCGAGGTTCAAGACAATAGAGAATAAGGCCTGTTAAGTTTCTTCATAGAAGATATGTGGCCAGACTTTAAGTTTCCTAAGCTGACAGTGCCTCATATTCACACATTGTGAGCTTGACTCACGAGTAATATACTTCAGTGTTCTGAAAATATAACAATAACTGTGTATGTTTTTCTATTAACCACTTCATTTTGTCTCATGATACTATTACTGTTTCTATGATTCTATGATTCTATGATTACAATATTTATTTCAATTTATAGTCACTGATTAGAAAGGTGCTTCCAATTTTGGCCGTAGAAGTATCATTGAGGGCACAGATATGCTTATCGTTTTGAAGCCAGTCTCTGTCTCCCTGGTTTGCATTTAGTTATAACCAGAACTATCAGTTTCACCTTCATATTAAATCCGAGAACTTGTTTTAATCGATTTCAGTTTTGAGTACTAGGCGAGAATATGATTCTCTCCCTTAAAAGATTTAAGGTTGCTATAAATTTTCAGCAACAAAAGTAATACTATGGAAAAAAAAATTTCCATGAGCAGATGGCTTTTGATATATCAAGGTTTTGCCATTTGTTTTAGTGCTTAAAATAAACATTATTTATAAGACCACTTACATTTTGATGTTACTTAATGAGGAATATGCATCATTGATTTGACTAGCTTAAGAGGTCATTTAGAACTTGCCCGTTAACAAGCTGTAATCTGCTGAGCACACAATGACTTTGTTTAAAATTATCTGTTCAGTGCTGATCAATGACAATAATTGTTTTGTACCAATCACTGTTGAAACTTGCTAATTACTTTGAAGGGCATACACAGTTGTCTCTTTTTTTTCAAGAATTTTTTTAACGTTCACCTTGGAATTCAAAAGAAATATAGTCGTAACACATTATACTTCCTTACAAAAGCAAACACTTAGAACTTTCACATTGCAAATATGAACATCATCAGAAGCTTTGTGTAAAATGTTCTTTTCCAAAAAGATCAGTCTTCAGTTTTGTCATCTCTGACATACGGAAATCTAGCATGAAATAATTTGAGACATAATGCAGCTTTTCTTTCTTATGTTTTGTTCAGTCAAAATCAGTGAGGTAGCTCTGAACAGAAAGTGGTGTAAATAAACGTAGAATGCAGCACTTAATTGGTACGTTGAGCCCATTGGAGATAATTATAGCTCTACGCAATTTCAGTCTTTTGTCTTTCAGTTTGAGTTTTGATCCTTTAACCCAGAAATATCCAGTTCTGCATTTATAACTGTGAGGTGAAGACTGTCAGAAAGAGTTTCAAAGGGACCATAATCCTGCATTAATGAGCACACAGCTATATGGGAGCCAAGTTGCTCTTGTTGAGAAATTTTGAAGCCAAACAGAAAAACAAAGCTAAGATCCTTATTCACATGCAAAGGATTTTGCTTAATCCCATATCTCTGAAGGCATACTCATTCTTTCTTCTTTCTCTATCCCTTTTTAACACAATAAGCTTGTGTATGAGAAAGTGCAGTTGCAGAGTATGAAATTTACTATCACCTAGTGCAAAGAAGCATGTCTAGTGCTTAACCTTTCTTGTTCCCGTGTTCAGCTGCTCACATAACTATTATTTATTAATATTATAGCAATGTCTAGAGGTCCAAACCCTTCTTATTAAAAAAAAAACCCAAACAAATAGCAACACATAGGTAAAAGAAAATACTAACTTTTTCAATTAGTTTTGAATGTTATTTGAGGAGAGAGGAAAATGCATGGTGATGCACAAAGGGGAAATAGAAGAATGTACCAACACTAAAAGTGAATATTCTCTTATTCCCAATAGCTTTAGTGCATCATTTTGTTTTCTTGGTGACACATCACTCATAGAGTTCCTGAAAGCTTTCCTGTGATACTTATTCTCTTGTTAAATCTCGCATAAAAAGATAATCACAACTGTACCTGAAGGTGCCATTGGTTGAGACTGAATGCTAGTTTTTACTTTAAAGAAGAGTGTTTTGGCTATTGTGATTGCAAAATGATACCAAAGACAAAGTATGAAAATATGCAACCCTGCCTTAGTTAGTCTGTTTATAGTTGGCTTCAGAGTGTTACTGTTTTCAGCTCAGGAAACAGCAGGAAACAGAAAATTGCAGTAACTTTTGATAGTTATCACAGTGGTACAGAATTGGACTGCAATGGAACTGGAAGGAGTAGAGAATTTTGCCTGTTACTGAAGAGCACTCCCAAGACTTGATGATACAGACTCTGAAGTTGCTGAGTGCAAAAGTCGATTGATAGTATGGATAATACTATCCATACAAATTTTCTTTCCTTGCCTTCTTCCTGAATCAAACACAACAAAACATGGCACTCTTTTTTGGCTTTTTTTTTACATGCTTCTTTGGAATAAGAGATAGGCTAAGAAAAAAACAACCTACACAAACACATGGATTGCACTTTACTTACCAAGTCATACTTTGGGATGGCGTAAAGGAAAAAAAAGGAAAACATTCCCCGTAGATACACGGAAGACTTCAAGCTCTTGAAAAGTCTAGTAGCCAGAGACCCACAGGAAAATGAGAGCTCTTGGCAAATTACATTACATTCTTCTCTTCAATGCACTTAGTGAAGGTGAGTAGCTTCTCACCTTGGAGTTGCTTCTGTATTGTAAGACCTCAGTCTTCTTGCTTTTTAACGTAGATCCTGCCTTTCAGCTGTTATGTCTTGTAAGATTTCAAAGCTGTAAAGGTCAATGAGATGGAAGTTGGAGCAGGAGTGAAGGTAATGCAGACTAGAAAATAGAAATTGGGAGATTAATTTAGAAATATATTGATGGGAAAAGACAAAATGCAAGGAAGATAGTAAAGAATATTTTGTGGGAAGATAAGTAACTTCAAGGGCGGAAGAATGTAAAGAAAGAGGAACTAGACACTGACCACAGAGGAAAAGATCATTAATCTATTTTTCAGATATATTGGTCTTGAATACACTGACCTCTTACTGGAAAGAAAATGAGGAGTGAGAACAGCCGTCAGCATGACTGAATAGAGCAAGTTATGTCTTCCACCTGTATGTGTCATGGCATAGGGATAAATATGGCTAACCAAATGGCAGGACTGATAATTTTTTACTGAATTAATACCTACTTACTCTTCCCACAAAATAGATAGCCGGTAAACCTGTAATCATTTCAGAAAAATCATGATTAGAGTTTTGTGTAGCAGAAGATATTGGTGAGGTGATGACTCAGTGGGGAATCCGTGTTCTACGTGAGAAAAGGCACCACTTCTTTTGTCTATTTATTACCATTCTTACATAAAGCAATACCACTGGCAGTAAAAGACACTTCTTTTCATTGCCACAACCCAATATAAACAGTGGTTTAAAACTTGACATTTTTTTAATGTTGGCATTTAGTAATAAGTTCATATCACCATTTGACTGTGATATGTTGAATCCTACTCTCATTTTCTTCACTGAAAAACATTGGTGCTTCTACTTGTTAGCACTTTCAAGGAAATCATATTATTTGGAAAATACAACAGATATTTGATATGCATACAAACTTTTGATTTGAAATATACTAAGCAAATATTTTTTTTCCTCTAGATTCAGAAAAGATGGCGAGGCTATTATGTTCGGAAATATATCCATAATTATTATGCACTGAAGAAATACCTGGAAGCCATTTCTGTGAATAATGAGATTGTCAGGTAAAGAAAAAATACCATGTGGTAAAGCACTCATTTCCTCTTCTGTTATTTGTAAAAAGTTTATGGCACTAATTAAACTACTTCTTTGAGTGTAGGATCCCCTCCTTATCAAATATATATGTATATATATATATCAGTCATCATTCTCTTTATTCTAGGCCTGTGCATGTTGTGCCACATTCTGTTCTCATTTACACTATTATGAATCCAGAATAATTTCTCTGAATTAATTATACGTGCTCGGGTTTATACCAATTTAATAAAACTTCACCAATGCTCTGAACTCATAGATTACTATGCCCTAAATACGGTTTGTTGAATGAGATTTTTTTTTCCCACTATACACAAGTTAAAAAAAAAATTATTTTCAAAATTTGCTTTGACAATTGATTATTGTCAATGAATGAAAGTGCAGATTTGGATCTAAGTTACGTGCATGAACCATAATGTGAATATTAATTGTAAAAGATACAGGTGTAGACATAGTGAAGCAGACTCTTTTCATAGTTACAGAATTGAGTCACTTATTAGATTTCTGACTAGAACTGTTTGCTATGTGTTCCTACTCTATTTCTCCTATCAGTTCCTTGTCTTTCTCTGTACTTAAGTTGAAAGTTGTCTGAAATAGAGGCAATTGTTTCCCTCTAGCACATTTGATGTACTGATCCTTGGCTATTTCTTCAGACAACAGTGGAAACAAACAGAAAAAATACTGGGTGACCATGATCGTTACTTTCTTATTTTAAGTAAAAGGACAAAATCCATCCAGCTTTTGTTGTTTAGAAAGCCGGAGACAAAGCTTTACTTTCTGAAGCATAGAAATATAAAGGAGTCTAGTGAAAAAGTCTCATCTAGATCACACAACAAAGACAATTTAGCCAGAAGACTGTTAGAGAAAACAGCTCATGCAAAATGTATCATCCAACTTTTTTTGACGCTGCTTATTAATTAGTGTTATTTTTCCACAGTTACAGTTGATGCTCCATCCTTTTTATCATAGCATTATAAGTCACATTTTACATTGTTACGTTTAATGAAGAATACTGATAACCGCCTACCTCTAATCTCTCATTACTATTCATGTAAACGTATTCTATGCAGAAAGTTAGATCATAGCTCAGCAAAACCAGACTTAAAAAAATCTGTCATATCTTCAATTATACCTTTGTGTTCTGAAATCCTTGAAATATGTTCTCTTCTTAAAAAGGTAGAATCCTAGGAAGACTAGACCAGATCTAGGAAAGTAAATGAAGCCATAATTTTTTGGTCTAAAATGAATATAACTGGTTAAACTGCAGAGACACAAGTGGTATTCCTGCATGAACACAGACTAATGGGACCTTTGTATTTTATTTCCCCACATCCACAATTGATCTCTGCTGGGTACATCTGACTTTGGAGGATTTAAGAAATATTTGTCTTTCAATACTTTCAGTTCTTTGACATGTTCATCAAATTCCCTAGTATTTGTTCCAGGTCCATAAAGTTCCTGGAACCATAAAGCCTGGACATTGGTTAGATATTTTAATCAAGAAATACTTTTGTGCTGTTTTTCTTTAACAGGTAAGGTGAACAGTATGACTTCAGGTACATAAAAATGTGTCAAAGTTGGTCTGTGTGAGCTCTTTATCTGGTTACTGATATATTGATATTCTGCTAATTTGAGTTCTGTCTTCTGGAGTTCACAGAAATATATGTATTTCAGGTTAAAAAAATCCATCTTTCAGATTAAAGTAAAGTTAATGAATTTTTGAGTGAATTTGGTCAAATGGATCATATTTGTTCAGTTTTAAAAATGCATCAGTTCCCAAGTGCAATCAAGAATCACTCTTGTAGTAGTCTCTTCACTGGGATGCATTTGAAAAATGAGATGTGTATCACTTCAACATTTTTCTTATGAAATGTAACAGATGTTTATTGCAGATCAGGTGTAGGCCTTTAGCCAAACAGATTTTTTCCTGCCATTTGGCTAAGTTGCTGCCAATTGCTTTGGCCCCAATGTGGCCCACTGTATTTCTTACGAGGAATAGTGAACAAGGTGGAGGAGAGATTCTCTGCATATTTTCATCAGCCATCACATCAAACGTGGAAGAGTGTAACCTCGTTGATCATAAACATATAAAGAAGAAATTCTTCAGTCTGAGGGTGGTGAGGCACTGGAACAGGTTGCTCAGAGAAGTTGTGGATGCCCCATCCCTGGAAGTCTTCAAGACCAGGTGGGATGAGGCTTTGAGCAACCTGGTGTAGTGGAAGGTGTCCCTGCCCATGGCAGGGGAGTTGGAACTAGATGATCTTTGATGTCCCTTCCAACCCAAACCATTCCATGATTCTATGATTTTTATGTATATAAAATTATTGCAATTGTTCATAGTAAAAACCACCAGGAATTGTCTGAAACTGAAGGAGTGCATTTATGAAATGGCTGGGTTTTATTCCAGCATCAGCATTATGGAAATTTACATGTTGGCGAGCAGAGCCACTAATACACTTATGCACTCAGATTAGGCTGGCTTTGAGTGCTTCTCATCTCTAGAAGACCGGAAAAAAACACAGCATGATACATGAAGTAATGCATTTTTTCTTATTTGCCTTATAGCTGTATTCATCAGAATGCATGCATTAGTGCAGTCAGTGCTAGTAAAGAACCCGGTTTCTCCACAAATACCAATAGAACCACAGTTAAATAGAAACCAATTTTTAAGAACTCCAGAGTGGTATAACTCTCCACCACCTAGATAAAAACCTAAACCATCCAACAAAGTACACACTAGAAGTTTATAATTTCAAAAGTTTGTTTAAACTATATTCTTTCTGGAATTATGATGTAATTCTAAACTGACCTACAATATATGGATCTCAGGCTTCTCTTCTAGAATAATGCTGACAGAATTTTTATTTATCAACAACTACCTGAAATCAAGTTGCAAGTCCTTCTGAGATATGTTTTTAACTCTTGGCCTCCAGAACCAGAGATTGAACTAAATTTTCTCTCCTTTCATTAAAGAGGAGCCTGTATCAAATTACCACTCACTTGTTTCTCTTAGAAACTTCAGAGAAAGCTGCCATGGAACTTTGGACTTTCTGTTAGTCTTATAAGAATTATTGAACAAAGTTTGTTTCCTTGCCTCTCCTCCTTCACTGTCTTTTTTTAGAAAATAAAAGACGCCTCCCTTACTAAGGAGTTTTCTCAACCAGTAGCACATCTTTACCATTCAGCTTTAATACAAGGCATCCTTATTTAATAGCTGCCCTCATTTAGTAGCCAGACCTTTATCATTTGTCTTTACTTTGAAAACCCCAGGAGAAAGTAAACTTAATAGAAGCTGCCCCAGTTTAAAGCCATAGAGGGATGTAATTAAGTTTAACAGAAATTGATTTAACAGAAATTGACCTAAAATATAATTAAATAATAATAGTCATATTACATGTGAGTTTGCACTCAGTTAACAGACTGCTTATCCTAACTTAAGGAACTGTTTTTGTATGAACTGAAGATAACTGTCAGCTTTAGCTCCTAGACTGTCTGAAGAGTGAGTGGATTTTCCTCCAGCATTCCCATTACTTCCCACTGCTACAGAACCAATAGATGTGATAGCTGCTGGTGTCCCCAGTAGAGTTCCTAGTAGTTAAGTTGAGAAGTGATTTGAAGAATCCCTTGACAGATGGCAAAGAATGAATTTGAACCCTGAATTCTATCTACATAAGGACATATTCAGATTTTTCCTGACATTTGTATGGTTTAGCTTCAGTGTAGCAGTGAAATAAATTTATTGCTCCTAAATTCTCTTTTACTTACAAGATTTAGGAAGTTCTAAACAAACCAAGTAGGAAACATGTTCTTAAATATTTATTTTCTAAAATTTTACTATTTAGATTTTAGTAATAATTCTTCATCTATAACATCCATTTGTATTTAAATAAACACCAATACATACTGTATTCTATCTGAATATAGATTAGTTGGGTGGTTGCATAGATAAATGCGTGCATTAAAATAAAGTTAATTACTTCTCAGTGAAGTTAGCGTATTTAATTTTAAGGGAAGATACCTTGTTTTGAAACATTCTTAAAGCTGCATTTAACATCTCTAAGAGCTGGCAAAAGGGTTACGAGGGAAAATATGCCAAAAGCAATTAGCATAGGCTATAACTCCATATGATGCATTAGAATTTTGTTTTATGTGAAACAGTTTCCAATCCATGATAAGCAAATGGACATCACTTCACATAAATTAACATGCTGGTGCCATTATATCAGAAGAATTTATGGATGATGTCAGTTTCCCAACTGTGTGATTAACTTGCAGTTCTTTGACTAAGGTTATCTACACAGTGGCCTTTAAACTACAGTAGAGCAACTTTTCTATATGTCAGGTGTGCAACTAGAGATAAGATTTTGGGATGTAGTGCTCCATTTACTGATGAATGGCACCATTTAATTTTTTCCCTAGGCATGGAACTCAGTAAGATAGCAGTATCAGAAAACTAACAAAGCAGTGGCAAAGTACTGGCATTGGAGTTCTTGTGTAATCAAGGCAGGTAGTTTAGCTTTCTTGGCTGTTGATAAACAGTCTTAAAGATAGAAAACTAAGATCTGAGTCTAACTTTAGCAAGCATCATATTGTATGTAAACAGTGTTATGATTATAAATCATGGATTTCACACACTTAGAGGACTGACACCAAAGTCAAACTCTTTTCCATTGTTGTTGGCTTTAATAGTGAAAAAGCCTTGAGAGTGGCCCTGAAGAGTGTGACTTTCATTCAAGTTTGACTAGCTGTTCTATCAGCGGATTTAGTATCACAGTCATCATTAAAGCTTTTTGGTCTTCAAGAAATGTTAGGGAAATAGATAATGCAAAGTGATAAAAATTGCGTCCTTGGTGATATGTATATTGAGAACTCCTTTGTGCAGTTTGATTTTTTATAATCTTAATGAACAATGAAATACAGTACTGCTACATGTCGCTGGTGATCTAATCCAGTGTTTATCTTTTCTGCAA